AGAAATGCATTTCAGATTCAATTAACCTCTCTTCCATCCTTTTTTTTTACAGATCTTATCAAAACAAGTATCAATATTAAATTACTTCACATACATGGTTTACTTAAAATATTTATAAAAAATTTTTACTTACAGTATTTGATTATTTAATACTGATTGGTGTTAAAATNTAATACTTTTAATGTGCTAAAAATAAAAAATATAGCATATGTTAACATTAATATTCAGTTTTGTAACATAAAACTGAGTGATTAGGTATGAATAATTTTTTGCCTGTATATCATATTATAGAAAACAATATTTACAAATGTTTAGCTTTAGAGGGATTGGAAAATTGAGATGCTTTAAAATCTTTTAATACATCAGAGAAATTAGAAATTTACTAGGCTATTTATTTCAAAACAGTAAAACATTTTCATCTACATTATACGGTAAAATATATTATCAAATTCAAATTGCATTTGCTTCATATATTGATTTAGTATATTAAGTCAATAAATTTAAGAATACATTGCTATTATTTCATTATTTAAGTTTCATTAAAAAATGAATATTTTATTTTAATAATTTTCAACTAATATACTTTTTAATTTTCAATGAGTGCAATGTCATTAGCCACATTGCATTTCCCCAACGAAATATCATGTACACACAAAAAAAAAAAAAAAAACACAAAATCTATACCCATTTCTAACGTGTCAGATTTTATCAGATTTTAACAAATTTTCTATCTGATCTAGTACAGGGTATCCAAAAAGTTACTGTACAGTGAGAAATTTGTAACGAGATTAAAGTTATATGTATGGTATTGCATCAGTAGTCTCATGACTACAGATACAAAAGGAACAACTCAAGACAAGTTAAACATACAATATTGCATACAACTTACAGATCACAAGCAATACTGTATATATAACTTCAATGTCATTACAAATTTCTCACTGTATGGTATGATAACTTTTTCAGACACCCCATAGAATCTGATAGACCTGGCTGATTGACAAATTATCTTTTACAAAAACAAGAATGATCTTTCATGTTAGTTTTCAAACAACTCCAATCACTAATGACAAATGTATTTGTTAGCATCTGAGATTAGAGATTCAATCACTAATGCAATTACAGTAAACTGGATGAAGAGAAATGTGGCATGATAATATTGATTCCTTAATATAGTAGTCAAATATCTAAATAAATTTTCTATAATTAAAATTTACTAACTTCTCTTACTTCAAATAAGATAATCAAACCAGTTAAAATTTTTAGGTAAGTATATCATTCAATATTTTATAATCAAAACTTTAAATATGAAGAAAATAAAATTAATATTCTATATTTAAACTTTAATCTTAATTACATATTATGAAGTAATAATATTATAATTGATGATAATGTATAAAAAATAACTAATAATGCCACTTCCTATATAAAGTTTTCTTTAGTGGAATTCACACAGAATATTAATAAACATAAAATCATCTTTTCTATTTCTGTAATAACACTATATTTTGAAACAATCACAATATAATATTACAGTTGATCACTGTATTATTTGTTGTGATCAGTACTTTTAATAAATTTTATTTTCTTTTGAAATAAACAGCAAAGTATGTGTGTGAAAGATCTAGAACTATTTTTAGAAGTTAGATATTTTCTAACTTCACAGCAAATCAAGCAAGAATAAAACTTTACAAGGTCATATTTTTTGACCTTGAAAATTGGGAGAACCACAAACAAGTGCTATAAACAACTGACTTTGTGTGACTTTTATACTACATTTATATATATATATCTCTTCATGATTTTCTCTTGTTATGAAATGAGAATAAAATAGAACATGAGCAAAACTAGAAAACATTTTCACATTCATCTTTTGACAACATGCAACTGAAATTTTTCTTATAAACATTATAGAATAATAATAATATAATTCAACTGGAGTTATATCTGGTCCGATTACCTAATTTTCTAGATAATTATCAAAACAAATATTTGATTTAAAAAAAAATAATAAAAGTCAAATAACTTTATATATCAAATATATTGAAACTAAAATGATAATATTGAATTTATCAAATAGTATTTTATGTAATTTCAGTGGATAGCAAAATATATTACTTTTTGTAACTATCGATTTCAATGTTTAAGTTATTTGAAAGACCACTATACAACTCAGAGTCAAATATATTCTTTTGATTAAAATGTTTTTGCAACATTTCACATTTCATTGTCAGATCAAACACTTATAAACAGTTTTGAACATTTTTATGTTCATACTATTCTATGTGATCTAGATCACAACTTAAATCTGAATAATATATTTACAAAAGTGCTGTCAATATTCAGATAGAGTTTTTAAAAAAATTAGAAAACTTCTTAGCTTATTTTACAGACTAATTTTTCATTTTTTTTTTTAATTATAAGAAATTAACAAAACTTTAGCCAGTTTTTCAATTCAAACTCAGCTGTTTTGAACAATTTAATTCATTTGTTGTCTCTGATATTTAATATTCATTTTTCTTTATAAATAATGAAGCCTATATTAAAATAATTAATAAAATGATTAAAAGTTATTACCAAAAAAATAAAACAAAAAACTTCTTAAAAAGTTTTGAGATAGATGATTTAGTTTATCCTTCTATTAAAATATCTTAAAAAAATTTGGTACTGTGATATATAAATCCAATTATTATATTTAGAATAAGCAATCTCTATTAAGTCAATAAGATTTGATTATTTCAGCTATTATAAAAATTTAAAAATATTGCTTAAAATTAAGAATGCACAAATTGTGTATAAAATTTATATAAGAAACACAGTTTAATGTATGAAACTACCGACATTTTATTGTATGTTCTTTGGAACTTAGCATAAAGTTATACAGGAACACTCCTTTTTCCATCAAAAGGAGTGTTCCTGTATGATTTGTTCTTGTGAGATTCGATTATTTTACCGACTATTTGTCGATTAATTGTCCCGTATTTGCTCAAAATCTAATTAAATTTTCCTTTAACTTAAAGTGAAACCTAACGGAAAAAAAAAAAAAACTTTTCGTTTATGTTTGACATAAACATCCGTTCAATTCGAAACCAATCCCACATTCCAATTGCTAAGTTGATAGTCAGCATGGTCCAGGGAACAACTCTGACCCATCTGCGTACCTTTTACCTCACAACAATCAATGACGTGACCATTCTCCCACGCCGATCTTATAAAAACCCCTTCCTTTCCCTTCTCGGGGGAGTCGTTCCAGAGCAGGTGCCAGGAGCCGATAACTTTAAAAATAGTGTCCTTTTTAATCAGTGAACTTTCCTAACCAGTGAATTTTCCTAATTCAAAGAGTGGATAATTTTCCTCAGTGGATAACAGATCAAGAAGTATGGAACCAATTATTGTAAGCTCTCTCTCGGTCTCTCCGCGTTTTAGGGACGCGAACTAGACGATGTACTACCCGAACTTGCGTTAATAAATTGTTAATTTTTCTTATGTTACATCTGGCTCCTCGTTTACTTGTATATCGCCTGTCATCTCACCGACGCGCTCCTCCCTCCGCCACTCGACCCGAAACATTAAAGCCCATTACTGCGGGAAAAAGACTCTTTCCACCCATCCTGACAGTGAAAGGGTTTAACAACCTGTTGCCGGATCGGAAGACCTACCCCCCTTCCGGTGGTTTCACATTCTCAATAGCAACTTTATGCTAAGTTCCAAAGAATATACAACTAATTGAGAGAATAGCAAGCAATCAAATACTACAGACATTTTAATTTGAAAATTTTGAATACATAAGAAATATTTAAACTGCAGAAAAATTTAATTTTATACATTTTCTGAAGAAAATAGCACTGTTCCAGAAGAACGATGACATAAATGCTGAATTAATAAAAATTTATCAATTCCAGACTAAAAAAATTTTTTTAATGAATCAATATTTTTAGGTTGAGCCTTTATAATATATAGATTCATAATAGTTAAAATAAACTAAAAAAAAATTGATTCATTAAAAAGTTTTGGTCTTTAATAAATTATTATTAATTCAGCATTTATGTCATCAATCTTCTAAAACAGTGATATAAAGATAATTGAAAATAAATTAATAACAAATACAAATGAATCTAAAATATAAATTAAATAAGAAGCAATAGGACATAAAAATTCATGAATTTCTAATAATAAAATGAAAATTACAATATAATTTTAAATAATTAATCTCAGTTTTCATTGAAATAGCATTATCAAAAGTTCTGGTTTAATTATACATTCAACCTTAATGTCATTAACCTAAAAATATTAATCAGTATCAGTCTAATGGAAAGTTTAAACTGAAATCAAGAAAATAATTTTGTAAAAATATGAAAATATATTGCTACCATCAATTCTTACTTAAAAATCTAATAATTAATGATTTTAAACAACTTTTTTATTTTACAGAATAATTCTTACTTATTTATAAACCTGGTCATTTCTTCTATAATATATGTTAAAAATTTACTCAAAATAAAATAATTGTATGAAACTTTAATTTTTCCTAAAATAATTAAACAATCATCATAATATGACTAAATAGGTAAGTTTACATTACAAATCCATTTTATTTTTGGATAATCTCATTTTTTCTCTGTAATTATTATATATAAAGTAGTATATGAATTACCTTTCATACAAATACTTGGCTATGTTATGCAATAAGAAAATGTTATCTTCTTAGATATTTTATATTACTGTTCAGATTCAAAAAGGAAGTTAAATACAGTAATACCCCGAACTTACGCAATAGGTGGGACCGAGCGATAACCGCGTAAGTCGAATTCGTGTAAGTCGGGGTATAATTTTGCATATAAATACATACAAATAACACAAAATAAATTGTAGCTATATGTCGAACACGTCCAAACATGTAAGCTGAACAATAGTGTGGGGGGAAATGAGTAATTAAGAGTTGCGTGGCACTCAAACAAAAGACGAAGCGGCGAGATTTGAAAATCGCGTAACTCTGGATTCGCGTAAGTCGGGGTAGCGTAAGTCAGGGTATTACCGTATAATATAGCAAATTAAATTATTAAAAAAAAATTCATTTTTTTGAAAACATGAAAGTTAATAATATGACGAGCTATCTTGAGTAACTTAATTTTGCCTATTAAAGGTTATTCTAATGTGTATGAGATTAGCCATTTCAGATGATTTGAGAATGACATTGCAATCTGAACTATCACAGAAAATCAAGAAAGTCCAGATTACACTTAAGTGTAGATTCTTCTTGACAGTAAGATAATCCTTAATTGCACAACAATGTAGCCAATGCTGCCAATACAAAAAAAGTTAAAATTCTTATTGCATAAATAGGTCACATTAATAAAAATTAAACAAATATATTTGAAGATTTTATTTATTAAATCATCATAACAATACTTGTTTACAGTAAATATAACATTCAATGTTTTATAAGTATAAAAGGATCACATATAAATAGTAATTCATTTAATGTAGTTTGTGTAAGTAAAAGGTTAGTCAAATATAAGGATTTATACAAAGTAAAAAGATATCCAATTTCAATATTATGATATGTAACAAGTTCTTTTGGCATTAAAATGCATATCACACATCCACAACAACATTTGACTGACCTTTCTCATCACAGCAAACTTCTATTGCAGCCATGATTGTTTTTAATCTACGATCAAACGCTTCTAAATGATGCTTTGTAAGAACTGGTGAAATTGGATCATAAGATAAAATTTCTTTCATTGATTCTTCTAAGTGATTAATGAACATTTGAAGTCGCAAATAAGTTTTGGATCTGATTCTTAAATAATAATTTATTTTCATTATTCAAATATTTTCGTAGNATAATTACCTGCAACATTGATACAATGGTGCTAAAATTGTTAATTCATCCCAATAAGGATTGCCAAAACTGGAAGAAAAAAGTCAAAAGTATTAAATTTTGTTTTAATTCTTATAAAGAAAAACTTTATATAATTTGAAACAATGTCTTATTTTATAAAAAGATTTAACAATTAAATCTTAATATCAAAATTACATTAAAAAGTAACCATACATTAAACCCAAAATATATATATATATAAACGTAATATATATGAATTCTACAATTGGTTTTAATCATTGTTTACTAATGCAAAAAAAGGTAAAATTGTTTTTGATTAACTCCTTTCTTGTTTGGCCTCATAAGTGTAAGACTGTACTCTACACAAATCTGTTCCAATAACAATTTTCATGGATAAAACATAACTGCTTTTTTTTGTGTTGATTTCTGTCAAGCAAAGAAAGTGTTGTGTTATCATGTTTCTTTCAAGAAAAGCCTGCATTAAGGGGTTAAGAAGTTTTATTCTGGCAATTTTGATTTGTGATATATCCCATTCTGAACACCACTGATGGTTTCTTGGTTGAAAATTTCCATTACTTGTTTCTATTTATTTTACTGAGCTAAATTTTGGCTTTTTTTTTTCAGTAACTTCAATCACACAGGGATATATTAATTGAATATGTAGACTTTATTACTGTATTCAGAAATGCATTTCAGATTCAATTAACCTCTCTTCCATCCTTTTTTTTTACAGATCTTATCAAAACAAGTATCAATATTAAATTACTTCACATACATGGTTTACTTAAAATATTTATAAAAAATTTTTACTTACAGTATTTGATTATTTAATACTGATTGGTGTTAAAATTGGGCAATTAAACTAGATACATAAAAAACCTTCATAAAATAAAACAACTAAAATAAATAATTAAAATAACATTAAAAAATAAAGAACATAAATTGCTTATACCTGTATCTGGATAAAAGTACAATTGACAAAATTTAAAAAATTAAATAAATAAATAAATATAAAAATGGGTTTAAAAATCTTTTTTAAAAAAAAGGGGTGAATATAAAAGGTTTCAAAAACCTATAAAATCATAAAACTGCACTGTGTGAGAATCAACAAAATTGACATTACAACAACATAGTGTATTATAAACGAAGGGGGAGGGGTGGAAAGGATCTCCAATGGACACTACTAATTAAATAATAGTGGTTGCCAGATCTCCCTAATGGCTATACCTTCATTTAAATTTATTTTATTTTCTGTTAATTTAATAATTTCCAAATGTTCGTATAGTTTTCTTTTAATATTTTTTTCTTTCTTGAGAATTTTATCATCATCTAGTGAGACCTTGCAACCTTTTCTGTTACAATGTATGGCAACTGCTAAATTGGTGTAATTATATTCTATTGCATGTAAATGTTCTCTTATTCTAATTTTTAAAGCTCTTCCACTTTCATCTTTGTACTGATAGTTTTTGCACCTTTGTACTGATAGAAACAACTGCAAAAAATTCTGTTTACCACATTATTTTGAGGCATCATATCTGGTTTTTGATTAATAATTTATTTAGTTTTTAATATATTTTTAATGTTATTATTAAATACTGGAGCAAGAAATTAATTGTATGGTTTTAATTTCAAAAACTATAGGGAAGTAATTGAGTTTTTTATAAATCATTTGAACTTGTAATGTGTTGTTTAACTATTGTTCTAATATTTTATTTGGATAACCATTTAATTGAAAAATTCTGTAAATGTTTTCAATTTCACTATTTTGTTCTACATAACTACTTGTACATGTTTTAATTTTTGAGATGTACTGTACATGTTAAATATATTCTTAATGTACATACACAGATGTATTGGAATAATAGTTAATAACTTTACCTACATTGCAAGGTTTAATTAATGTATTTTTTGAAATTTAAGATTCTTTGAGATCTTTGGACTGTAATGCCTAAAAAAAGATAAAATGCCATTATTTTCTATTTCAATTTCAAAAGCTGAATTGTGTATGATAAAAATTGATCAAATAATTAGAAATATTTGATGGATAATACAATATAATAGATGATTGTTTTGTGAGGTAGCAGAAATTCCTATATTAGAACTAGTCTTTAATATTAACATTGTTCGAGAGACGTAACGATCGTTGTTCGTAGCTACCTGAGAAAGTCTCCTGTTACATTTTCTCGAAGGCAACATGACACTTTCTCGTGAACTATTAACCTCTGCACGACCGAAATCGTCCATGAATATCGTCAGAGATGGCCGAAAAGAGTCAGTTGCTGTTTTAGTCCTCGGAGAGGAAGTCATCGTCGCCCATTCCATAGGATAACCTTTATCAACAACCTTTTTTTTTTGTGTTAGTGCATGATAGAGCCTGGATATTTCAACGGGACATTTTGACTGAATATTTCGCCCTTGGACAAATCCTGAAAAAAGAACTATTACCTGGTTCTCCATTTGATATGACCCTGATTGGGATATCTGTTACAAAAGGTATTTATCACCATCCGAACCTTATGTGAACTCTCTCTCTCTCCGCAACAAAACTTTAGAACCTCTGTATCTTATCCATTTTATTTTTAATTAAATCCTTGTTAAGTGTTAATTGTAGTTCGAGTCTCTTCCACATGCTGTCTCTCGATCGGCTGATATTACGAATCCGTCTGTCCACTTAGTAATGATGTAGTAATTGCCGTCTCAGCTTCTGTGTTCCGATAAACACGGTGGTGTCAATCCTGACAGGGCACTAAAGAGGTGCTGACCCGAGAGGTCACAGTTTCATTGTTTATAATACTTTAACTAACCCCCAGATAATACTTGACTGTGCCTATAGTATAGAAAATAACATAGATTTTGCAGTAATAAAGTCTACAAAATAATAAGAAAAAAAAATAACAGTAACAAAGTCTACATATTCAATTATGTATCTCTGTGTGATTGAAGTTACTAAAAAACAAAGCCAAAATTTACTAGGCTTAGTAAAATAAATTAACCACTGATGGTTGATGTGACAGAAGTAAATAGTGACTATAATCCAAGAAATGGCAGAAAAATGAACGCAGTAAAACTTAAATTATCTGGACACTGTTTATACAGGTAACCAATTATCTGGAGTGTCCTCTGACTTTGTTAAAAATAATTAGTCATGTATGTATATGTACTGTATATGCATAAAAAGTAATTTTCTTCTAAATGTAGAAAATGTATATTTATTTATAGGTACATTTTCACATTTAGTATTTTATTTGAATAAAATTATATACAAATGTACATAATAGGGTGTTTGAATAGAGGAAAAAATTATTATTTTAAGCAAAAATCCAATTATCTGGATATTCTGCACATGCAGACACATCCCAATTAATTCAGAAAATTGGAGTTTTACTATATCAATCATTCAAAAAATTTGGATATATGGAATTTAAAAAAACAAAATTACTTCTCTACCAACCAATATGAAAAATTTATCGATTTTATGAACATTTCTAAGAATTTCAAATTATTTACTATAATTTATATCTTCTTAAGTCACATGAAACTGAAATAAGAATCATGAACAATGATAAACAACCATTTGTTTTAATATCTTACTAATTAAAAAAATTAAGATTTTGATGACAAAAATTTATTCATCATTTGTAAACATTACCTTTTTCCATTGTCAAGTAGTAAGATCATGCTGTCTGGAGCATCTGCAAAAACTTCATAATGGTGTCTATCTGCATTTCCAATGAGGTAGTCAAAGATTGAAGCATCAATTATGTCTAATAAGCGTGGTCCTGTCTTATAAAGTGGGTTCAATCTGACACGTTCACAGTATCCATGATCAACTTCCCATCTGAATTTTGCAAAATAGTAGTTATTAAACTTAAATTAGAGATATAAATATTTTTAAATTACAAATATTAGCAAAATAACAGAAGCAAAATAAACTAAATTTATTTAGAACAACTATTCTAATTATAATATTTGATAAATGGTTATACCGAAATAAGGTATAAATTTTAACCAGAAGTTATAATGGATAAATTCATCGCTATTCATAAAATTTTGATTTAAGAGATGTTTTTAGGAATGAGATACAATCAAATTGTAGTTACACTGTAGTTAATTCAAATTTCCACTACCTAAATCCTTTAAAATTTAATAGTTTCATACAGTTACAAGATGTATTTATGAAACCAATTTAAATTTTAGAGGATTTGATCCATAACAAGAAACATATCCAATTATAATAATATTTCAATAAATAAAACTATGAATTATCAATACAATTCAGCCAGCAAGAAATAATTCATTAGTGATGGAACAACAAAAATGTAATAAAATACTACATATAAATGAATAGGACAATGCAAAATTACTTCTTCAAAAGTTACCATTCAGCTTTATTTATTATTAACACAAATTTTAAAAAAAGAAGCAGTAAACATTTCATATATTGAATAATTAATACAATTTGCCTAACAAAAGCACACATTTCACTTGTCATTTAGTAATGCTTGACTTTTCTTGTTAGAGAACTGTTGTGTGTTTACTAAATAATTATTGTTACTCCAATTTCAATGACATAAATCTTAGGATTTGAACATAAACTAACAATTAATTTTTAAACAATGTAAATAAATTAAATTTATATTGGGCAGAAAAATTATGTATATAATACTGTATTGGATGTAAAGATAACAACGTAAATTCTTCTTAAAGAAATTAATAATTGTCAAAATCATATTGCAGAATAAAAGTAAATTTATTAATGCCATTAAGAGCTTATTAAATTTTAAGGAAAGATATGTTTTTCAAAATTATATCAATGAGAATTAATATAATTTGACAAATGAACCAAGACAGAATAACATTTTGTAGTAATTCTATATGAAAAAGTTTGTCAAATGTCTCATCAGGTTACATAATAGAATATGCAAGTAAATAGAAAATTTTTACAGATCACAATTATGATAATAATTTATCTAATAAGTTAATCTCCCTTGCCAATAGTAGGTATATTTTATTGTTATTATTTATTTTTAAATATTCATTTTTTATCTAACATACATTTTATTCATTAAAAACATTTGTAAATTAATTTCTGTATTTTGAGATTAGAGCATAAATAATATCATTACAATTAAAACAGTAGTTCTTCAATGAATCATACAACAATTTTCTAATAAAATCATATGTTGTTAAATGACAAGCAATAATTAAACTTATAATGGAAATGGACACTTATAATGGACATTTATTATTTCAACACATGAAAAATTTACCACATTTGAAGAATCTATTATTATTAACATATTGTAATTATTTAACATTATGTTATTAATTAACATGCTGAAATAGTGTTATTAATTACATAATTATACCATCTTTAGGTCAAATTATGTAATTTATCTAATTAATTGCACTATTATAGTCTGTTAATAATCAATTAAAATCTTTGGTTATCTGAACATATTGGATTATTATTTAATGTATGTATTTTGTTTTACATTGCTAAAAAATTAAAATCATTGAGTAATAAGTTTTGAAATGGTATTTTATTACTTTTTTTATTACTTTTGACTTTTTATCTAATTAGACTTCTACCAAAGAATGAAGTATTTTTCATAAGTAAAAAAGTTATTTTTATTGTTTGTGTTAAAATTTAAACAACAATTTCTTTTTAAGTTAAATCAATCATTTTAAATAACATTAAAGTCATCCACAAAAATCTTATTTCACCTCTTTCCTACCGAGCAGAAATATTATCTCTATATGTTCTTTGCCACGGATGACGATATTTCTTAAGCGTAAATCTTTCTGGTAGCCATAATATTATAGCACCCTCAATTACATCTCCTTCACCACAGGCTGGATCTGATGGTTTGCAATAATAGCAATGGCCATAAAAACAACTGTTGTTATCTGTAAACAGATTATAACAAGCATTACATTATAATAAAAATTTAATAAAATAGTTTATCATATAGTGTATTGCATTTTCTATTGATGTAATTAAAAAGAGAAATTAAGTTACGCTGAAGAAATTAACTCAAATAAATTTACTAGGAATATATTACTAATAAATTTATTTTGAAACACTATTTTATAAAGAAACTTTTACAGGAAAAAGTAACAAAAAATGAAGTTTTTCTTTCAAGAATATTTAAAAACATAGTCAAATTGCTGTATTTATTAATAAATTCATAAATTTTTTTATTTGGTTCCTTTATTGACTTTACTTTTGTTTACATTATAATTCAAAACTTAATTTATTATGGTAAGCACATGGATATGTCTTATTCCAGACTGTCTTTCTTTTCTTTATAAAAGATAAATTTAATTTTGCAAAAATTTAAATGAGAAAAGGATTAACTCTTAATCCATATGCAGATGTTAAATATTTTACTGTATGTGATGAACTTAATTAAATATAAAATTATCATCATATACATTACTATATTATAACCACTGTTGTATGTTATATACAAGGTGGGTTCAAAACTTTGGGAATATATTTCTGGTAGGAATAATAACAAAAATGAAAAATGGTCCTATTAGAATATGTCCAAAATGCACTGGTTTCAGATGGGAGGCACTACTTGGCATCACAAGCTGCATACACAGGATATAACAGTGCAGAACAGTATGGCATACTGTATGTATTTCAAGCAGGGTCAAAGTAGATGTTTGAAGTGTCCTCCATGGGCTTCAATGCCAGCTATCACATATTGTCAGTTCAGGATGCAACCCTTTTGAATGTTCCAGCCTATATCCAAACCCCTGTATGCTATCTGCAAAGCATTACAGGTAGTATTGCATTTTGCTCCAATATCAAGTGAAAACTTTTTCTGTGCACACAACACTTTCCAGATGTCTCCACAAGTAAAAATTAAGGAGGGTGAGGTCTGGCAACCGGACAGGCCTCTTTCAACCAATCCACCATCTACCAGGAAAAGTGGCAAGCAGAAGTACCTCTGCACTAGTCCATTTCTGGACATATGTTGATAAGACCATTTTTGTTCTTTCTCTGCCAGAAATCAACAGCTGAAGTTTGATCCCATAGTTTGGAACCATCCTGTATATGACATAGCTTTTCTGACAGATCAATATTGTAAATATGTATGTAACATTTTAATACAAATAATTTTAAAAGTACTGTGAGAATCAAACAAGTAAAAGGAACAACTCTAGGATGACATCATCAGACGCTAATATATGTTATCCTTGAATTGTTTTTCTTTTACTTGTGTCTTAATTCTTCTCAAAATTCTCTCAGTTTGAAACTCTGATTTCTCTTTCTTGGAGAATAAATAAATGGTCTATCTGGCCATGTGAAATGTGGATATCCTCTTTGTGGAATATCTCTGTGCACTCAATTCTTGAGACTTGCAACATGATCAATAGGTCGTAGATTTTGATTTTGGTGTGCTTCAAAAATTTCTATGATTGCTTGACTGATTCATGCATCTATTATCATTTTGACAGTTTACTTCATTTCTTAGTTCCCTTATCTGTTCTTGGGTTCAACTTAGAGTTGCCTTTAACTCTATATTTGGCTCTGGTGCAGTTCTTTTGGAGTCACTTACCATTTTTCATAATTGTTCTGTGTCTGTTGGTCAGTTGTTCTATTGTTTCTTCACTTACTGTGGCTTGTATTGCTTGATCAAATGTGTCGAGTTCTCAGGACATCACCTGTCTCTTTAGCTTGTCATTCAGCCCATTGAGAAATAGTATGTGCAGTCATTCGTCTAATTCCTTTCTCTGACATTGTTGTATAATTGCTGTTTATTCACAGCCTCAGTTGTTTGTTCTATAGCCATTTCTGAGGCTAATATTTGCAACCTAACTGCATATGTTTGCACATCTTTGTCCTTTTGTTGCATGCATGCATAAAATCACTGCAATCTAAGCAAATATGGTTTCCATTCAAATCTTGCACCATAAACTTTTTGAAATCATCATATTTCTCTACTTCCTTCATTCATGTATCTTTCCATGCATAATCTTTTGCAATCCTTGTTAATTTTAGCTTTGCAATACATAGACATTATGGTTTTGACCATCCTGTTAATTTTGATATTTCCTTTAGTGCCTCGAAAAATTTGCTTATCTTTGGACTGGTTGGATATACCGAAGATGAAGGTATCAAAGGTATCATTCTGTCTATACACCATCTAGGGTGAGTGAACTTTCAACTATTTCTTCATGTGAGCATCCTGGAGTGGTTGTCTCCTCTCATTGCCACCCATTTTCCCTTAAGAACTTTTTAATTCTTCTAGAAATTATCAATCCCACTCTGACACCACTGTAAGGTTTCTCTGATGGTGTGTTAATTCTGACACTATTGTAAGGATTGACAAGTGACATCCAGGCACCAATGTGAGATTCTACTACAGTTGTCCTTCTCACACAAAGTAGGTTAAGCTTACTACATAAAGTTTTGAGTGTTTTTCTGGATGGCAATACACGGTCTCATATGTGAGACTAGGAGTAAGAGGATGAAGTAGGAAAGGATGAGATTCAGTTGGAATCGATTAACTCAACACAGTTTACTGCACTTAAACATTTATTAGATGACATGAAAGTTGGTACATGTTTCATAGGGTATTTCACAAAGAGTGAGAGATTACAAATTTTTGGTACCTCACAAATCAGAACTAGAATTCTTGTTGAGGATCTTTGGAATGTAGTCCTTCAGTTAGCAGTTTGGGAGAGAATCAAATAAAGGGATGATGATGATGAATCCAGTGGCATAGCTTAGTGGGAGCGGCCTGCCCGGGCAGCAAAATTTCACAATAAATAATATCATCTTGTAAAAATTTGAACCATTTCATTTCATATTTTCGTTGCACCTACGATTCGGACCGATTGAAATGAGCACGGAATAGTGTTACCATCCAACTATTAATTTTACCTGGAAATATCGTGTGCAACCTGTCAACCTTTTTTTTTTATTGCTTGTACGATTCATTTGGTCAGCGATTTTAAAAAGGTGGCAACACTAGCACAAAATTTTTCATTACTTATTCTGTGACGAAACTGAATTTTAGTTTTTAAATTGAGATACCTAAATAAGGGGACGGCAAAATTTTCCTTTGCCCCGGGCGACTGACACCTACGCTATGCCACTGGATGAATCTGAGAGTACAGAAGAGCACTAATCCAGAAAGTAACAAAACACACTAAACTGAACAGTTGAAAGAATGGGCAATGTCTGACTGGAATCAGCCATTCCTCATCATATTCAAAGCAGCAAATACCTTAAAGGTGACTAAAAGTTGCAGGAAAGGTGTTACTACAGACTCTGAGAAAGCATAAGTTGACACTTTCTCAGAAAGTTGACATATACTATTTTGTGATGTCATCCTTGAGTTGTTTTTTCCTTTTACTTGTTTGATTCTGACAGTATTTGCTCATTTATTCTTGACTGAATTTATAGATTTATGATTTAGATATTTATAGTTTTATAATGATATTATGTACTCTTTCCCTGAACATATTTAGTTTGCAATCCTCAACATTACATGTTGAGGATACTCAACATTATCACTTTATGATACACTATACAGTATTTGTTTTGCAATACACAGGTTGTCTAAACAGAAACTGAACTTTTGCTCTAGGAAAAAAAAGCTACAAGAAATATTTTTATAAATATGTTTATTTATTAGAAATAAGATCCCTCTGCAACAATACAATGTTCAGAACAAGTAATTAGCATTTCAAAGGACTTTTTCAACTCTTGTTTGGCACCTGGTTCAGTACTGCAGTCACAGCATCCTTAATCTTGGGAATGTCCTTGTAACGAGTTCCTTTCATTGAAATTTTAAGTTTTGGAAACAAAAAACAGTCACAAAGAGCCAGATCAGGAAAACAGCATGGATGGTCTAGGATTACAATATCTTTTTCAGCCAAAAACTGACAAATGACAGTACTCTTGTGCGAGGGTGCATTGTTGTGCAGCAGTGCCAAGCTTCCTTGAGCACAATCTCTGGCTGTATGCATAAAATTTGGTTCCAAAGATGTTCTAAAATACCCAAATAATATTCTTCTGTAACATTCTGGCCATTTGGGACAAATTCTTTGTACATGGTACCTTTCGAATTATAAAAACAGATGAGCATGGCCTAGACCTGCAATTTTTGAAAACAATTTTTCAGTATGGGCTAGTCTGATGACTTCCATATGAAACTGACGTTTTGTCAATAGGTCATATTGGTACCACCATGTCACACCACCCGTAACAATATTTTTGAGAAAATTTGGATTGCAGCAAATCGTTTTGATGATGTCCTGAGCATGATGAATGCAGGCCTGTTTTTGTTATTCAGTGAGTGAATGCAGAACAAAGTGGAAACAGACCTTATGTTTGTTCAAATGATTATGTAAAATTATGTGAACAGAGTCCTTTGACATTCCCAACTCTGCTGACAACATTCTACAGGTTACATTCAGACTCTTTCCTAATATTTGATGCACTTTATCAATGTTATTGTTCATAGTCTACATCTTTGGATGACCACTTTTCAGACTGTGTTCAATTGATTTCTTTAGTCAATTCAAATCTTTGAATTGTCTAAACCATTCACAAACTTATATGTTTGGCTTAGGCAATCATTTCCATATACTTGTTTCAGTAACTTAAACATTTTGGTAAAAGTTTTCTTTAGTTTTATGTAGAACTTAATGTTGGCACATTGCTCCTTTGCAATTTTCTGACAAGGGTCACAAAATAACTCTTAGGGTGCGACTATGCAGATGTGAGTGAGCAAGCGAGAATATGTGGCGAGAAGAGGCGAGACACAATAAATATCAAAACCTGTCAGATATGTGCGAGAACCAGAAATTCGCTCTCGCTAGCGTTATTTCTCGCTTCTTGTTTGTGCATGGTTTTCCTTTGCGAAAACTAAATTGCTCGCAACCTCTTGCTCGCTCTAAATTCACGTCTGCATAGTCACACCCTTACATTTCACTCCATACAAAGGATTATTATGAACTGATTCAAATCTAATTGCACACAACTGATAACATAAAGTTCAATTTAGAGTAATATTTTAATTTCATGATTGAAACGTGTCACTTAATTAACAATTTAATTTATACAAATAATTATAATTAACTAAGTAGCTATATTAATAAAATAGAAATGTGTAATATAATTTTTAAATTCATATATAAAATAACTACCTTGTTTTGTAAAAGTTTTCAATAATGCAGACGAAGCAATTGGTTTTATTTCTGACTGAAGATTAATTTTTCTACCAACTGTAAGAGGAGTTCTGTTGAACCCTAACAGCCTATAAATATTTATATTAAAAACAATATTATTTTTATTTTTATTATTAATAAAATGAAATTTCATAAATAGCAAATAATTACAAATGAAAATGCATTACAATTTAAATAAAATAAGATACAATTAATAATTCAAATATATTCTTACATTTTCTGACCTTTATGGTGAAGTAAAGTAACATAGGGTCATCAAAATAACTTAATAAAATTTATTAAAATAATAATTACTATTATTAAAATTTAATCATAAGCTTTTTGTCACCAATGAATTGTTTAATTATCACAAACTTCCAATTGGTGGAGATCTAGGAGACTTATCAAACTGTATTGGAGTGACAAAATAATAGAGATTACATCATTAAAAGACTAATTTTATTTGTGGAATGTATATCAGTCATATGTCGATCCTCTTTGGCCACTTTTATATTGTAATGATTTTCGTTAAAAACTTTATTTTAAATATTAACAATTGAAAAAATAATAATCACTTACCTGTTTAAATGAAAAGCTGCAATTTCTCCATTGTGTCTATCTGCTCCTGCATATGGTTGCCCTTGTATAATATGATCTCTAGGAAATCTGATAGATAAAATTATACTATTAACTTTATGTTAAAAATCTAAATTTTAACATAAGCATACTCCATGTTATAGCTATTCAACTTATGGCACTTCAGAATTTGAGAAAATAGCAATTCAAATTGTCTTTAAGTTGTAATGCTTGCTTCCATATGGCTCTTTAGTGCAGTGGCATAATACTGCTGTTCAATTGATTTAAAATATTGATGTTGATTTTGTCTATTTGCTATGTTTCTCAGTTACACGCTGATTAAATAAATATTAAACTAGTTATAGCTTTTATTTTACTATGTTGGTGTGATTAAAACTACCAATAAGTTGAAAAATTCAGTTCTTTGACTTGCACACATTTCCAAGTCATGCTAGCAGTCTGAAACCTAAGTTGACATAACCCTGGAATATGTCTTTATATAGAATAAAAGTACAAATACCTTTTGGGTTTAAACACTACTTTCTGTTGTCCTTCAAGAGTTAACATTATTTTTAGCTGAGTTCCTTTTCTGCCGACATCTGCTGAAATTATTTTACCCTCTACCATTTGAGTTACAATACTTCCCATTTCTTTACTATGATCTGGATGAATTTCTCTAGAAGTTACCCAGTTTGAAGCTATTGTCCATGGTGATTGTTTTAATTTAATCTTCATTTTAAGGTCACTGCATAAATAATCTAAAATATTCTTGTAAGACAAACTCTTCTGATATTTAGTAAAATTCATATTTTGTAATTTGGCATTTATCTTGAGGCCAGTCAAAGTAGCAACATTAGAAATTGGAGATTGAAATCTTAATCTGATATTTTGATTAGAAACATGTTTTCTCTCCAAATTAGTCCTTAATATTGAATTTACATTATGCTCCATAGATGTCTGAAATTTGATAAAAGAAATTAATGTTAGTATATTTTTAAGAGTAATTCAAAGAAAATAAATCTTATTTCATTGCAAAAATTAATATGGAAGACTTATGTTATTAATAATATACATTATATAAGTTGTTATGCAAAGATTATTGTTATAGTTTCTTCTTTTTTTGAGTGATCCAAAACAAAAAATTTCACTTAAGCCCTAGTACTTTTGGGCTTTTCAGCTTATCTTCAGTGGTACCAATATTAGAGAATGGACTGGAAAGCACAAAAGTATGAAGGTTTAACTCAATTCTTTTGTCACGATATTCGAAACAGCACAAAAAAAAACTGTGTATTTAAAGAAGTTGAAAAAAAATTAATTTTAGTTTACTATGGTTTGTTTATGACAAGCATGATGCACAGATAATTTCAAAATTGTTAAAATTATTTTGATTGAACTTCTACAAATAAACTGTTTGAATAGTCTATTAATTAAGATAAATAAAAACCCATAAAATGAAAATCTTTCAATTATGTATCAGATATTTAAGGGAAAAACTGCAGCAAAACAGTTAGCCTACTTCTAAAACCAAAAGTGGAGAATAACTCAAATTTATGATTTCATTAAACTGATTCATTTGAAATATTTCAGTGTGGTTAGCAAACTTAAATAAGTATAACCCATGTTAGCCTAATAAGGCACATTTTTAAGAAATAACTTATTATGATATATGCAAAATTATGCATAAATGTGATTCACACTTAGTTTTATTTTAGCTACAACCAACAGACTGCCGAAAATCTATCGGGCTAGTTTTATGCTAATTATTAAATAAATTACATAATCAATTTGGTACTAGAGGTAAGCGTTAGGCGCCATCTCTTATTAATATTAATAATTATAAATAATTTTTAATTAATTTAAATAATTTGGAACCGCTGGGAGAAAAAATCGGCCCGGAGCGGGACTCGAACCCACAACTCCTGCTTACCGTGCAGATGCGTTGCCAGTTACGCTACCCGGACCTCCGATCCGATCTCCTCTTCCAGCGTATATAATCTAACTACTTAACCATCGACGGTTATTACAACGCCGGCTGGGGACACATTCAGTGCCCACGTCCTACTTCCCATA